ATGGGAGATGAGAGGGGGAGTGAGTGGATATGAAAAACCTCTTCTCCCCCTGCGAGAGACAGAGGGAATGGGGAAGGAGAGGGAGCACACAGATAGAAATACAGACAGGCGAGGAAGAAAAAAGTGATTATCCCCTTATCCACTGTTTTAAAGAGGTTAACCTCATTAAAATTGTGGTTATGAAGACGCTGAGGGCACCACAGATAATAAAGCCTCATGCCAATAGTACATCCTCAGTCTGAATTCATAGATTCTTCACCCATTATGTTTCAATTTGAGATTACTTCTGCATCCGAAAGGTTCCTCAGCCCTCCTGTCCATTTGGATGAAAGGATAAATTCTCTGTGCCCTTCAAGGTGTGGATTATTGCTGGAAGACAAATAGTTGCCACTCCGCTCCAACTCTGTAACTTTTGCTCGAAATAAAAACATGGCACCAGTTTTTTAGTGGCTGAAATAAAAACAGCAGTAAATGAGTCAAATATGAGAAGGTCACTGTGTTTTCCAGCCCGTTGCTCATCCTAAATGGGTCCCCATGGCCTAAATGAGGATGGATGTGTGAGCTGAAGAGGATTCACTGGTCTGAGCTCAGCCTCTCGACAAGGGCAAAGGAGACGGGAAGAGTTGAGTTCAAGGAAGGACTGACTGTGGCGAGGTTTGGATATACTATTGTGGAGGATTTGCAGAATACAGTTGTAGGGAGCTGTGTTCAGTGTGTAGGCTGGCAGCGGAGACAGGGAGGAGGTCAAGGGGCCTGTATTTACTGTACAGATTTACCAGCAAGCCTCTGTGAATCCTCTCTGATCATCTCTCTGTTGTTTGATTTTTTTTTCTCTCTTTCTGTCTCTGGCACACATGAAACTGAAGCCTAATGAGGACTTTTGTGTCAGCTTTGTGGTTGTAACTGCACACCAGTGAAATGGGAAGAAAAAGGCATTATATTTATCTGATCCAAAGAGTAAATTCCTAATCCAACTCCAAATGAAAGGTAACACCAGTACAATAACACCATTACAGTGATGTCCTGATATGCAGAATTAGAGCAAGACATCCTGAGTGAATCCATAAGTTGTAACCATGCTGTGTGAAATAATTCAGTGCACAGTTATTGTTTTCTTCTCATTAGTAATCCTCCTTAGTGATAATACCTTTTTAAAAAGAGATCACATTTTCCATTAAGTATGATCTGCTATGGAGACAGAGTCTGGGAAGCTGAAACAATGGGAGGTGTCGTGATGGTAGGAACAGAGGGCGGCGTCTCATTAAGATGATAGCAGACTTTACTGTCGGGACTGCAGATGATTTATAGGTCTTGACCAAGTGCATACAGTTATAGGTCTCTATCTACATTAAACCAAAAGACACTTGATATCTTTCATGATTCATGACGAGGAGCTCGGAAACACCTCAAGGTCAGACTGATAACTGTGGGATGTTCGCTGATGACATCAGCTTGAAGTCTGAGGCTCGTCCTGCTCTCTTTTTTTTTCAGATGTGGAAAATTCTCACTAAAATGTGTGGGGATAGAGAGTGAGGCATGGTATTAAACAGGATGTGTGAAGTCTCCTAAAAATGATGCATTGTCCCTAACGACCGATTATTGACCTACAGTAAATGTCACCTGAGGAGAAAATCAAATCCCAAATTGCATGTCCTTGCGAGAGGAGACCATTGTTCTAAACAACATCTTAACATTTTCAACACAGGGAAAACTCCAAACTCTCTCCGACTATGGCCATCAAATATTATATTTACAGTCTCCCTCCACTCAAAAATGCATTCTTCTTATGTTTATGTCCCCTAAAATGAATGACCTTGACTATGTATCTGTAAGTTCAACACATTCTTGTCACATATCTGTTGATCATAGACTTTCCATATTCAGATATGACATGCAAGGTACCCTGGGTAGTTGGTTGTTGACATTCTTGGATGTTTTTTCAAAATATAATTCTGTTTTCACAGGAAATGTACCATTTGCATACAGTCTCTTTCACAATAAAGGCACTACATCGGTACAACACAAAGAACACAGTTTGGCTTTACAGTCTAACAGGAGGTGAACACCGGCCTCCCGGTTGAAAGTCGGTGGACCCATCCACCACCCCTTCCACCCACCCTACTTTATTTGTTGCCCCATTGCGTTTTCTCCTAACACTGTTGGGTGCCGTTTAACAATAACAGCGACTGTCTGTGTATCATGGCAACGTAAAAGTATATTTTTTTCCGTTGGTGTCTGACGCCAGAAATCACTGCCCAAGCGCCAGATTTCATCGACTTCGAAGTGAGACTTGGTTGGTAGGTTTGTTTGTAAAGAGGTGTTTTTACATGCCTCTACTGAATAGGGCAATGTCTGTACATTTCCTTCAACTCTGAGATTCAAACATACGCTGGGCAACATAGATTAGGTTCATCACTAAGACGAAAGCTAGTGGCTGTCAAATACAGGAAACACATATCAATGGTGGAACAGACTTCAACATAACATCTGCAAATACATCTGAAACCTCCAACACAGAACAGGCTTGCCAGTACAGAAAGCAGAGTTTGCATTAACATAGTGATGGTAGAGTGCAGTTTGTGGATGTAAACAGGACCCTGGAGCATCCCTCTGCTGTCTACCAAAAACTCCATTGTAGCAGATATTGTAGAGTTCTGCAGGGATGATGTTTATTTGTAGGGCAACACAGAAGTTAATATTGCCCTGGTTCCCTCGACAAAAAGGCAATGGTAATGTTCCACTGGACTTTGGATGACTGCAGAATTTAAGCTCTGTGGCAAAATAAAGTTAATAACCAAGATAATCTTCACAAATGAACGCCACTTTTATGATTTTTTAAGTGTGAAAGCAATCGCCAATAAAAAGCTAACGTTAGACTATAAATTAGCTGCACCATGGATGCATGACTTCAATGTTGCCATCACAACAAGATTGTAAAGCTGTGTTTGATGACGTTGGTCTCATTTAGCTACTTGTTAGCAACCATATTTTTAAGACATGTTAAGGACTCAAAATTTAGTGGGATATTTACCGTCTTATATTTTGTTGTAGAACAAACCATCAAACTCTCTTAAACTTGTGTAACCACAGACTTATTTCAGACATCTAACCAAAAATCTATTCAAAAAACCCACTGACTTTGAGACGAACTGGGAGTGCTGAAATCTTAACTAATTTCTGGGTTTTGGGACTTATTCCTGGACCAGGCTATCGTATGCTTTGCCTACAAGCTAACAAACAACATAAATAAAACATGCTAACTACACTTACCATTCTGATATCTCTACTTGTTGCCTATTTCGGTGCATAACAGACTCTAAAGCTAACACTAGCCATTTTAATGCACACTGCTCTTTCACTGGTCAACCTGCACAAGTGGCGCTGGAGAAAGCTGAAAGTGAAAGCCACACTTAAAACAAGCAAATTTCTCAATGAGTGAGAAAGAGTAGATCTGCTTTAAGCCCTTTTTATAAATATTATGGTGTGGGAAAACCGTGTTCAACAAAATGTAAGTATTTTACTTTAAAACATGTCTGAGAGGGACTTAAACAGTTAACATGCAGTAGCCAACAATAAATAGGCTATTTAAAAATGCACAGTGAAAAACAGCACTGGATCTGACCTGTGATTATAGTCCCCACCATGGGGTTAATAAGTGTAAATTTGAAAGCGCCAAAGTGCAACTGTCAGATTCATTTAACCCCAAGTTTCATCAAAATCCAATCAGCGGTGGCTGAAATATCACGCATGGCACATGAATCAGTGTGGTGCTGCCCACGTGCAAAATAATCTAATTTTGAAAATGCCACCGCTCAGTGAGATACCTACAGCAGTTCACATTATAGTTTCATCAGTGCCTTGTCAATGGCGCCTGATGGATGAAATCCCAAGCTGGTCATTAAGATCAACCTTTCAGTTAGATCAGCAGAACATGTGTCATCCCACTAAGGAGCTGAAGCGACTGCAACTGGAAAAACAAGGTGTGGGACATAAATTGTCTACACTGGCGCCGCTGTCATTCATGGAGTCATGGTGAGCGTGTTGCAGTATACGCGGCACACACTTTGGCTTTGCTTGAAATCAAAGTTTCTTCAATGTTTGTGTGTCAGAAACCATCACAAACCATCATTCTTACACACAACTAACAACATCATGATAAGAAGGGGTACTTAATGTTTTGTCACAGAGCAATACCATTATGAATGCTGTTCAAGAGGAACTATTGAGCATTAACCTTGTATCTAATTGACACTGCAGAATGTTTTAGGTGATCCAGGATCTGCACCAGGATCAAACCCATCAAGGCTTTCCAAAGAGAAGGTAGCTTATTGATACAACTATCCAACTTCCTGGGGTTTAAACAGGAAGTCATGGGGAGTTTAAAAAAAAAGAGAGAGGTGAAGGAAAGGCAAACGAGGATGATTATACACAATTTAAAGTCCAAACCCCGGCAGACTTTTTTTTTTGGAAATGCTCTTCAGGAGGAGGAGAGGAGGAGGAGGAGGAGGAGGATGAAGAGTTGTCTCCATCAGCGAGACAGCGCCCCAATCGGTTTTACGGTGACCGACCGTGAAGCGCACATCCCCCGGTGAGCCAAACGGACTGTCCTTGAGGCTGCGTCAAATTGCAGCGCCTCACCGGGATGTTAAGTGATTGTACCTTTCAAAACAAAAGCTTAACTTCTTCAAAGAGTTAAATTATGAAATATATGCTGTAAAGAATGTAATGAATGGCATTAAATAAAACAATAATAATAAAAAAAAGCAAAATGCATAAAAAAGGCTGACCAGTGACCACCAGCTTGCACATGCCCTCATAGCTTATGAAAGACTAATGAAATAATGAGAAAATATTACCTCGAAAATTACATGTATTAACCTTTCTTTGCTTTTTTATGAATCCAATGCAGCACATTTTGAGTGAAAATTAATTAATTACTTGGTTTTATTCTATAGGTCTGTGCCGGAAGTGATGATGCGCGTCCTTCATGGCCACTTGACAGTAGATGTCCAGGAGCTCTGAGCGCACACGCCGCGCTCTCCACTACATCGCACCACTGCGGTAGGAGCGGGGAAGGCAGCAGCAGAGAGGGGGGACCCGGCAGGCACACTTCACTTGTTCCTGCACATAAAAAAAAAAGAAAACACAATCCAAGTGCAGAGCGCGTCTCTCTGCTGACTTCACCACAGAGGAGGACTTTACCTGAGAGGACATAATAGGCAACAGCTCCCCGGGGCAATCCTTACAGCCCAGCGAGAGCGAAGGAGGGAGAACTTTTGGCTATTGCTCCGTGATTTTTTACCACACGTCCTGTAACCTTGGAAGTCAGACCTGTTTATTGTGAGAGGATGGGACCGCTACTCCTTTCCATCGCCCTGTGTTTGGGCGCCGCTGTCCCGCAGCATGTGAAAGGTGAGTGGGAAAAGTGTCTGGCTGTCATCATCATTGTCCAAACATTTTTCTTTTGCACGTCTAGCCCTTTGGCGTGGGAGTACAATCAAACTGATCACCAGCTGTCGAAGCATCCTTACATAGGCTGCTGAAAGTGGGCAAGTGGAGTGATCATTTAAAAGGGGGAAGCCCACATGAATTGCTGAGCAAAATGTGATGCGCGTCTATGGAGAGGCTGTGTTGTTTGCGGAATACGAGCAGCCTGTCAGAACGGGTTTGGCAACAGAAAACTACCGCTTGTAATCTCCGCACGACTCATTAGTTAATTGGTTTACTTGTGTTTTCAGGACACTTGTCTGAGTCGATGGCACTGATCATTATTTTTGTTTTATCCGTGCGTAATTTCGCACAGATAAGGGGGCCAAAATTAGTCCGTGCACCAGGCGCGCACATTTTAAGGTAGAAATGTGCACTGCTCCAGTATTCTGTGCGCCCTCGCGGTAATAATCTTCATCTGTTTGCTTCGCTCCTCTGTGATGCTTCCAGAGGATAAAAAGAAGCCGTGCGTCCAGATATAGCCCCGGTCGGTTAAGACACAAAGGACGTCACTTTTCCCTCTTTAACAAACTGAATTAAGAGAAAAAGATAAATGGAAAGATTTCCACAATGTGGGCTTTAGACAGACCAAGATGCTATCACTTAGAGGAGATATGCTAGAGAACCTCCTGTATTACAGCACCATTATTGACTAAGATGACGCCAGAGAAGGTCAGTTGTGCATTGCAAGTCTAATGTAGGCTCACCAAAAACTGCCAGACTGCTTTATGTAGAGAGGAGAGCTTATAGATCCACCTGACCCACTGGATCAGCATTCAAATCATCTCAAACACCCCCTCCTCCTTTGCCCTTCCAGTTTCTGGGAATTGGGATATTTAAGCTTTTGCCTGCTGTATTTTCTCCGTGATCAGTACCTGTGGGATCTGGAGAAAGAAAGCAGTGTAGCCCTTGTGGAAGTGGGTCATGCCATCCTTCCTGTCTCTATTCATTTAGCAACATGCTTACCTCAGGAGTCACGCATGTCAGACAGACCTCAGTCTCTACACCAGGAGTGTGCCTTAAGCAGAGTTTCTTAGGCTCCCTAAGCCTCGCAGTGTCAACTCCAAATCAGCCGTTACAAGACATAATACTCCCTGGTAGGCTGGCATAATGAATGCAGAGGAAAAGCAGGGAGCTGTGGTGCCGTGGGTCGGATTGTTTCAAAGCTCAGCGAGTTAAAAATACACCTTGAACTTGTCCCTCAATTAATCATATCCCAGTTAAATTTGCAGTATTGTAAAGGGATTTTTGTCCATCTGTTTCCAAGTACAGCTGTAACCTCATTCACAGCAAGGAGCTGATGTGAGGAGGAGATGCAGGGTGGATGGAGGGTGTTAACAGTGTTTGATCTGTGTGTGAGCATCCTTACAACCATCACTGGTCGCCCTGGCAGCTATTTTAGCAACGTAACTGTTCCAGAGTCAGACAGAAAGGGGCTCCAAAGGTCCATCAGCATTCAAACTCCCCATCATAATGAATATATTTTAATAATGAGGGATCTTTGTTTTGCACAAAAGCTAAGTCATACTCACCTTTTGTGGTTGCTCAGTTGTCTTCAGAGACAGCTGCTAACAAACACTCTATTGAGGGTGTCAGTGTGTGCCTCTGTCCACTGAAACAAATTGATGGGGTAGAAACATTCGCCTTCAGGTAAAACAGACTGCATTGTTCCAAGTCAGTGTGCAATACATCACTTCCTCTGGTTGGTTACTGGTGCTGACTCTCACACATTGTTTGGGATTCAGCCTGTCCGCCTGGACAAAGCACATGACTGCACCAGTTGGCCCTCTGTATGGAAATGTAAGATGCTTTTGTGCTTGTTTAGAGAGTCAGTTTTAATGAATTTTATGCATCTTAATTTTAGTCTCAGTCTTGTTATAATGGCCGCGCAATTAGAGCCTTTTAGGCAAATGGACAGCCATCTGGAGGGGCGATGTGAGTGTTTAGCTATTGGTGAATCATGATTAGTGTTAATATTGTTGGTCACTGTTCATTTCCCTCAAAGATTTCACTGGCTTAACACTGTTGAGAAAAGTTTGTCAGACACAATGCACTGATGCAGAAATGATTTCTAGAATGATGGTGGGTTTAGATTGGCCTGATCAGTTTCTCATCACGCTCGCTGAATGTAGATTACGGTCAGTCTAAAACTTGAGGGAAAGACAGAAGGCGGCTTCCTTGCTGGCAGGAGTGACATCTGGTACTTTTGGATAAACAATAGACCTGGCTGGTAATGAGACGGAGGGAAACTGTTGGCTGGATGTAACTTAATACTGCTTGGGATGTCAAGGGGGTCATGGAACACCTACAACGCAGCACAGACTAGCTCACTTACATTGTTCTCGGATGCATTATTTCACTACAGTATATGCACTGTGGGCTGTAACTGTCATGAGTAATATGGTGCGTTAATCACAGCAGAAACGTAGCTTCACATATGTAAACAAATGACTGCAGCTGTACAGTTTTGGCTGCAGCAGTTATTTTATTAATTGTTTTGTCAAACGACAGAAAATGTATCAATAAAGATTAGGATAAGTGATGAAACATGTTGCTTTAATTTTTCAAGCAAATTTTCCAAGCATTTGCTGGTAAAGCTCCTTAAATGTGATGATTTTCTATAGGGCTGCAACTTATAATGAATTTTTTGATTAATCAATTAGTAGTTTGGTCTGTTAAGTGTCAGAAAATGGTGAATATTTCAATTAGTGTTTTGTAAAGCCCAAGATGATGTCCTCAAATGTCTTGTTTTGCCATCAAAATATCTAAAAAAAATATCAGTTTACTGGCAGAGATTAGCAAAGAAACCAGAAAATATTTACATTTAAGAGGCTGGCATCAGAGAATTTTGAATAACTCAAACCGATTATTCTATTATCAAAGTAGTTGGCAAATAATTTCATAGCTGACAACTAATTAATGAATCCTTGCAGCTCTAATTTGACGCTATTCTTTGCCACATCTGATTGTAAACCGAATATTTTTGGACCTTTCATCAAATTAAACAAGCTTTGTGAATATATTATCTTTGTGTTTCTTAGTGTTTGGGAAATTAAAACAGGTACTTTCCTCTGTTATCTGATATTTTATAGACAAAATCAAGGAATAATAAAAGAATTATTTGTTGCAGCCCAAGTACTGGCCTTTTTTAATTAGCTGTCTTACCCTTGAAAACATACATGACTAAGTTAATTGTGTAGTTGTCCTTGGTTTACTAGAAATGAAATACTTTCAGGTCAACTGGTTGCGCCTGTGCTGAATAGAAATGGAGCTTGCGTTTGCAAACAGTTGGGAATATTAGATGATCACGTTCACGTTCAGATGATAGGGATCTGTCTAGGAGCTCATTACATTTACTGGCCACTGAAGGTTATGGTGGATGCACAGGTGACTTTTAATAACACTGACTTGCAACCTTCCTCTATGTTGCCCTTCACTCTGGTTTTAAATGGCACCGTCTTCAATCAGCCGAGAGAGGTCGGACCTCTGTCAGATTAGTAGCCATGATAAACAAAGGAATGAAGGCAACTCATTGGACGGCAAGCCATGCACAAGGAAATGCAACATGGGATATCAGAACACAGGAATCAATCTGTGGTGACATTGGCTACTGTCTTTATTTTCCACGTTTGTGGGACTTAATTAGGCTGTTCAGTGTCAGCGCAGATGCTCCTTAATCCCGTTAATAATTGAAGGAGAGTTCATTTGACTCCTGTGCTGACAAGTTAATGGATACAGGGCTATTTGTCTTTGCTGTAGTCGGGCCCTTGGTAGCCCTGCCTACATTTCATGCTTGACTTATTGGGAGGGCACTGGAGGGACAGTTAGAGAGGTTGCAAGGACACACGCTGAGGAAGTGCTTACCAAAGAACTTTAATACAAGAATGGACAGCACATTGGTGAAATAAGATGTTTGAGCCAACAAACACACATATAAGCTTTCAGGCAGAAACAAAATGACTGTGTCAGTCTTGTTCTCTTATGTCTTTGTATCCGATTTCCTCCCTTATAATTGTGAAATCACCTGATACATGTCTGGCTCAACTAAGTTATTGGTGTTGGCATTGTACTGCGCTTTAGGCCCAGTTCTAGATTTTCAAGGTGACTTCAGGCTATCAACTTTGCCTTTGTACATCACACAGTGAAAAGGAACAGTGTGAAGTTGAACATAAAGACCGAGCAGCAGTAAAAATAGCCTCTTTTCACACAAGCCTTTTTCCCCTAATCCTTAAATCGATGTCTGATGTTTCTGTTCACAAAACTCTGGAAACATTGATTCGGCATTTTCCCAGACATGTTAAAAGGTCCAACGTTTACTAAAAGCAGCATGTTACATTATGACGGCTGGCTTAAGCTGCGATCTTCTTAGCATTCTATTAATGCCAGTGTCGAAATTCAGGCCATGACTGTGCCAGGAAAGGGGAAAAAAGGCCCTCCGAAACAGTGGAGAGATTATATGAATGTTTCGTTTGTAGTGTCATTTCATGTTGAGAGGACTTCACTTTTTTTTTAGCTAAAAACATGCAGCAGCACATCTTTTCATAGTTTGAGCATTCAGACGACCACATGCTGGTTTTAAGTAATCCCACTGGGTCACGAATAATGACTCAACTTTTGGAGGCACAAGCAGGCCCACAGTGCGGGCCCACATTGTGTGCGTGCGTGTGTGGCAAGACATTGCTGCTAATGAAGTTATATGATGTCTTGTTTGAAATGAACTGTAACATATTGTTTGGGATTGTTTGTGAGTTTGCTGAGGCTCACTTCTTTGTTGACTCACTAAAAAGAAATATTATAATAAGAGAAAAGGCATCCAGACAGAACACATTTAGCCTGAAGTGGATAATGTAATTTCATGGTACAGTTGGCCTTAAATTGTTGTTTAGACAAATCATTTTTAACATGCAACTTGTAGTACAGGTTCA